GGGTTTAGGGCTTAGGGTTTAGGGCTTAGGGGGTTTAGGGTTTAGGGCTTAGCGGGTTTAGGGTTTAGGGCTTAGGGGATTTAGGGTTTAGGGCTTAGGGTTTAGGGGCTAAGGGTTTAGGGCTTAGGGGGTTTAGGGTTTAGGGCTTAGCGGGTTTAGGGTTTTGGGCTTAGGGGTTTAAGGGCTTAGGGTTAAGGGGTTAGGGCTTAGGCGGTTTAGGGTTTAGGGTGTAAAGGACCCTGAACTGCCAACCGCTACTGTCAGGTCTGACCGGTGTCGGGTCAACCCGTCAGGGCTGGAGCCTGCACCCTAAGGGTTTAGGATTTAGGGTTAAGCCCTGCAGGGCACTGTGGGGTTTGGGGGGGCCTTAACAATTAGAACAGGGTTTTGGGGCTCCTTTAAAGGGTTACTATAAGGGTTGTTATAAGGGCTACTGTGAGGGTTTAGGGTTTAGGGGCCTTGCTAATTAGAATAGGGCTTCGGGGTATCTTATACTATAACTATGATAAGGAACCCCCCAAAAAGCATAGGTAATTACAAAGGTCCCTGTATTCGGGCTTGGGGGCTTCGTGGTGCTTAGGGTTTAGGGTTTAGGGTTTAGGGTTTAGGGTTTAGGGTTTAGGGTTTAGGGTTTAGGGTTTAGGGTTTAGGGTTTAGGGTTTAGGGTTTGGGTTTGGGTGGAAAGGAATGGAGAATTCCTGATGCTTTATGGAGGCCTTCCTGGCAGCCCTTATGAACCCTTCTAGTTGGAGAAGCCCCTATTGCGAGAAGTATAACCGTCTTGGGTAGGTTTAAGGTCTCCGGCTTTCAAGACACGTTCAGTCTAGGGCAGAGGGGTTTGGAGTTTCGGCCAGCGGAGTCAACACTTTGGGATTTGGCATGGGCCTTGACCACAGACAAGAGCTAGAAAACTGACTAGACCCCAAACCCTACTCCTAAACTCTGCATCCAACACCGCTTTGCAGAGTGTGGCGTTCGCCTTGTTCGCGTCGAAGATCGCCAGGAAATCATCAAGCGCGACCTAACCCACGAGCTCGAACTACTCAGGAGCTGCCGTGTATCCGGGTATGGGTTTTATTAGTTAGTGATGACCATTTCTATTTTCTAACCATGCACCCCCCCCCCCCCTACGCCCAACCCAAGAAACCATCTTCAAAAAATCATCCATGTAACCCTCAACCCCCAACCCCAAGCCCCAACCCAATAAACCATCTTTGAAAATCATCCTTGTAACCCTCAATCCCCACCCAGGTCAAGTGCAGCTGCAAAAAGCGGCATCCCACATGCTTCCTCTCATAATCCCGGACCGTTGACAAAATGCCAGCTGTCCCTCACGAAGAACTCTCTTCCACACCCTTAGCGCCTTGACCGGCAAACTCCTTCGAAACGGCTTTCAATCAACGTGATGAAACCCCTTCCCCCCCTCCACAGCCCAAGCAAATCCTGCACAAATCGCCAAGTTAAAATCAAAGTGCCCCCTGCGTGTAGGTCTGCGCGAAGACGTAGTCTGTGAGGGAGTTGGTGCCCATCAGGTACTTCACCTTGGGTTTAGGATTTAGGGTTTA